GGGGCCAGCCCCCAACACTGCAGGGGCCAGCCCCCAACACTGCAGGGGCCCAGCCCCCAACACTGCAGGGGCCCAGCCCCCAACACTGCAGGGGTCCAGCCCCCAACACTGCAGGGCCCAGCCCCCAACACTGCAGGGCCCAGCCCCCACTGTGGGCACCTGCACTCAGGTGCACACGTCCTCGTATGCACATACACCTAATTAAAAATAAAAAAGAACTTTTAATCCCAGCGTTCACGGAGGCAGAGGCAGATAGAGGCAGACGGCTCTCTGAATTCCAGGCCAGCCCGGTCTACAAAGTGAGTCCAGGGTGGCCAAGGCTACACAGAGAAACCCTGTCTCGAAAAACAAAAACAAAACAACCTGCCCTGCCCTCCCCCCCCATAAATATATTTAAGGAATTGGAGAGAGAGCTCAGGAGTTAAGAAAGTACACTGTTCTAGAAATACAAGCTCCAATTCCAGGGGTGTCTGATGCCCTCTTCGACCTACACCCCTACATGTACACACACACACACACACACACACACACACACACACACACACAAATAAATCCCAAAAATATAATGTAAGTGATAGGTTTTAGCCTCTGGTCTCTTCCCCTCTCCAGCAGTCCCGTGACATTGAACACTTGCTGAAGGCAGGATCTTGTCATATACGCAGGATTCCTGGGAAACCCCAGTTGCGCTTTCCTTAGGGTGTTTCTGTCACAGTTCTCAGCCAGTGAAGGAGTCAGCATTTCACCTGCCTCAACGATCACTTTCACTCTCTTGTTCATTCCTTCAGTGATTCAACACACCCCAGAAAGCACATCCTTAGTGTAACAAAATATTCTGTGACTCTAAGAGGCATCTCAGAAATGTTAGTTGAGCGTTAAGGAGAGAATGAGGAGGTGTCTTAGTGAGGGTTTTATTGCTGTGAAGGGACAGCATGATTGTGGCAACTCTTATAAAGGAAAACAGTTAACTGGAGCTGGCTTACAGTTCGGAGGTAAGGAAGAACACATAGCCGAATGTAGACAGACTTTGTGCCCGAGAGGTCTGAATCAGCAGACAGCAGGAGGAGACAGTGAGCCACTGAATCTGGCTTGAGCTCCTGAGACCTCAAAGCCCGCCTCCCAGTGACACACTTCCTCCAACAAGGCCACACCTCCTAGCAGTGCCACTCCCTATGGGCCTATTGGGGGCCATCTTCATCCAAACCACCACAGCAGGGAAGACAAGCAGGGTTAGGCTGGACTTTGGGGTGCTTCTCCTGAGGCGGGACACAGGTGTGTACACACAGCCCAAGTCCAGGGAAGGGAGAGGAGGGAAACGGTGAGGTTTGCTCACAAGTAAGAACTGTGGAGATACCAGTGGGCTCTGCCCGTGGCTTGTCCTTAGCTGCTCAGCCGATGTGATCTCTGGCTGAGGTGGCTACTCTGGGCTCTGCCTGGGTCCTCCTGGGTTGTGCCCCACCCCACACCCTGATCTTCACAGGTACCTGGCTAGCGACATGGAGGAGGACAACCAGGCACCTAAACAGGACATTTTTTACTTCCTCTATGGGAAGAGCTACGCCCAGCGCCCCATGTTCCACAAACTACGGTTCCAGTTCATTCGGTCCATGGGCTGGAAGATCTGGGTGTCCCGAGAGGAGTGTGAAGAGGTGGGTGTGGGTATGTGGGGTGCAGAGGGCCAGGCTGGACAGGCAGAGAGTGGAATGGGGTTGACTGTGGGAGGGCGGATTTGGGGAGTGGGAAACCTCGAGGCTAAGCAGAGAGGGTCCAGGGTGTGCCTGGGGTGGGGCACAGCGCTCTCAGGAAGCTGTTTCCCTCCAGATCCAGGCTTACAACCCAGAGCTGTGGGTGTGGGCACGAGATCGCACCAACCTCACCTAGAACCACAGAACCACGGAGGCCCGAGGTCATCGGCCCGAGGAAGGTACGCTGCTGTTCTCTGAGGTGTGGTGTAATCCAGAGAGCCACCGAGCCCCCAGTTAACCCACCCTCATCCCATTACCTGCCACTGGCATAGCTGGATTAGTCCCATCACTGAGATAGACAGACACACACACACACACAGTGGAAGGCCAGAGAGACAGAGCAATTAGGTAGACATGACCTTGGGGAGGCAGGCTGTACGGTAGAGACCACTCGATTGATCCCAGAGGTGAGCATTGTTCCAAGGACTACAATCACGTAGAAAGCTTTCCGTCCCAAGCAGGTCACCGGGCACTGGGCTGTGGCAAAGCACCTTTTGCCTTCTGAGCCATTCCACTAGCTCCAGGGGCTAATGTCAGTCCACAGTTAGAGTTACAGATTTGGGCAGAAAATGAAACAAATACCTGCTTTCCATTCTGTGTTAACCGCCAAATTCTGGATAAAGGAGTACAGTGTCTCTTCAGAGGTTAGGGTTAGCGTTAGGCACAGAGGCTCATGGGTCAAGACATTAGCATGGTTGCTGATGTTTACAGGTTTACAGCGTGGCTAGAAGTTCACGTTTTAAGTGACTGATTCGGATGTATGTAGCCTGAGATGGCCTTCCTCTTCCTTGCAGATCCCTGTGCCTTAGGGAGACGCTCTATGCCAACATCAAGGACCGCCGGGGGAAAGGAGAGCGGACCGCCCTCCCCAGGAAACAAACCTACAAGAACCCACTCTTCTAGGAGCAGTGGAATGGTGCTCCAGGGAGCTGGGACCCTTGTGGGAGGCTCTCTGTGTGGGGTTGGGGCGCAGGAATTGAGGATTCCTCCAGGAGGCACCGGGTAAATGTTATCCCAAATGTCCTCGGTCCCCATCTTCCCCCAGGTGGCGACCAAGGACCCCGTGGTTTCTGGTAATTGGTCCCCACTACTCGGGCTGTTTGAATGAGGCCCCTCAAGGCTCAGATGTGGAGGGAACTACCTTCTAAATATAGCATTTGATTTTCATAATTGTAGCAACTTTAACACAGCACATGTGTTATTGGAATACCAGTATACATAACAAGTTTTGTTCTATTATTAATAAATCTTACTATATTGTTATATTTGACTACAGAATAATTAGCAGATTAAATAGGTTTATGATAGTTCTAATTTTGAGAACATGCCACATCTATATTTTATGATAACTCTTATAACGTGTATATACACATAGCTATTTTCACTCAACAGAGGATTTTTACCTATTTATCTATTATACTTATGTATCTATTTATCTTATATCAGGGTAGCAGAGCCCTAGATCTTTGTGAATATAAGCTTTTGTTTATTTAATGAGTTTCCATTGTGAACACCAGCCTGTGGCACTTTAACCTGCCTGGAGATGTTTGTGTATTACTTTAAAGAGGGTATGTGTTTGAAAGAGAATCCATGTTACAAAGTCCTTTCCCGAGGACACGTAATAAAGATGAAATATGTTTCATGTTCTCTGTGTGTGTTACTATGACTGCAGTGGGTTTCTTTCTTTCTTTCTTTTTTTCTTTCTTCCTTCCTTCCTTTCTTTCTTTCTTTCTTTCTTTCTTTCTTTCTTTCTTTCTTTCTTTCTTTCTTTCTTTCTT